TTCCTAGCACCTAACGATAAAGAGACTGTTGTTGCTGAGGGATTCAAAGAGGAACTTGAAGTTAGATCATCAAAGTGAACAACTGATGTAACTCCTCTGAGATCCACACATGAAGAAGCTGACATAAGGCTGGTGCTACATGCTGTCCAGAGTTAATTTAATACTGTTCTTGTGTCATCTAGAAACACCGATGTTCTCATGCTTCTAGTATCTCATGTGCATGATGTGAACACCCGTGGATGATGTCTGGTACATCAAAGAAATGGGGTATATACTGTTTATACTGTATATATTGATACTGTTTATACTGTATATATTGATACTGTTTATACTGTATATATTGATACTGTTTTCAAAACATGCCAAAAGATTCAGTAACAGCTTTATTACCATTAACAGGGTGTGATACCACCTCTTACATCACAAATCACACCAAGCAAATACCATAGAAAGTCTTCAAAGAGCACCATGAATTGCTGAAGGACTTGAGAATTGGTGAGTGCACAGAGCAAACCATCAAGTATGTCAAGAAGTTTGTTGGAAGACTCTGTAGATTCAGCAAGGTATATATTTTTCTCCAAGACCGATAAACCTGAAGCAACATCACTGACAAGTGATGCACCACATCTGATGCAGATGCACTATCAATCCATGATATGGAGAAAAATTACCTGTGCCATACAAGTGCTTTCTGAACTGGTGGACATGGGATGGAGACATAGTGATTTAGGTCTACAATCCATCCTGATGTCATTCAGTTCCATTCCAAACAACTGCCTGGAAATTATTTCTTGTTCGTGGCAAAAGCAGTGCAGGAGTTTCCATTGTAAATACCACAAATCAGGGTTAAGATGTACAGCAATGTGTGCTTGTAATAGCAAAGTGATGAGCAAAATCCTTGTAGGAATAGAATGTAATTGTTTCAGATAAGCAATTTGATATTTCCACAGGCTGTTTGTGCACAAGTTTTGTTGATAGAAGCCCTTTTGAGGAGTTTTTGTAAACGAAAACACTCAAAGTGCAGTTACTCAAAATCAAAGTGAGGTGCATAATAACATATAAAATGCAAGTTTTCATGTTGTTGAAAATTGACTTACTGATAGACATTATTGAAACATGGAATAGCATTCTTTCTGTAATCATAACATGTCAACATTATATGTGCATGAGTTGTAATAATGTCAAAACAGATGTGATTTTTGTAGTTCTCTCCTTGAATTTTATATCTTGAGAGGAAATTAGCATTATTGGGAATCATCACTGTTTACTTTGTTAAAAAGTGATAATCACAGTTTGTTTATATTCTGAAGTCTACGAACAAAGGTATCTCTTACATCCTATCCAGTTTAATGGATGTTGACATAATGTTATAATATGCAGTTAATAGACCATGTTGAGTTATTAAACATAGCAACTGAACATAAATATTTGAACCCCAAATTAAACATTCAGCACATCAAAATGATGATATAAAATAATGTTGACCTATTTATAATCCCTTAATAATCTCAACAGTTGCATATAAATATGTATAGAAGTTTTTAGTGGTGTAAAGCATAACTTATCTAAAATTGATAATTTAGCAACCATTTTTTCTTTTGAGTTAGAGGGTCAAAAACTTAAAATTCAGTTCCAGAACCATCAATTTTGGACTCAGCATACTCAAATTATACTAAAAATTCAGGTTCCCAACTTTTATTATAAAATGTCCCTTACAGTAATATTTATTAAAACTTCATCCTGTCTAACACTTACCTGCTTCCCCAAGAGGTGGAACAAATGATGCATAGGATTTTCAGTGCTCTTGTATGTTTCACTTTAAGTTCATTTAAATGTTAAATAAAAGTCAGTTTAGCATCAAAGAGAAATTCTAAGAACATTGTCTCAGCCATCGTGGGATCTGTGTACATCCCAGATTGACTTTGACATCAGGGTGCGATCTCCACTGGTGGCAGAAATGTCTATAAACAGTTTTAGATGACAAAAATTTAGAACCACTAGCAGTGGTACATTCACACAACTTATTGAGAGGAGTTTAAAGCTGATCCATAGTCCAGCTTCAATTGAATGAGGTCATGATAGATCTTCAGCAATTCAGTGCCCTTTGTACACTTAACACAAAGCTGCTTAAGATGTGGAATAAATGCTAGCTTACAGTTGAAGAGATGTTCTAAGAACTTTATCTCAGCCATCATGAGAATAACAGCATTACCCAGACAGACCTCTAGATCAGGATGCAAACCCCTCTGGCAGCAAAAATGAGAAGATGAAACTGTTTGCTGTGTCCACCCCAACAAGCGAGTGAGGGCAGTCTGAAGCTGCCACTCTACAAACCTCATATCGACTTCCAACAAGAAATGTGAAAGTAATTGTCATAGAGACTGTTGCAACAGTACGAAGAAGTTGTACAGTAATAGCACTGATCTTAATAGTGAAAAGTATGACACTCAAGATACAGCCCTGGAGACTCCAAGTTCATGTGTGAAGGATTGTGACAATATTGAACCCATACAAACTTGGAAATGCCTGTAGAGTAAAAAGTTATGTAACCCATAAGAAATGAAATCCTGTAAAATACCAAACCTCCATGTAGTGTCATAAGCCTTCTCAAGATGCTTCCTGATTGAGGTTTCAAGATGAACCAGGTGGTCCATAGTGGAACATTGTCTATGAAAACCACATTGGGTAGGAAAGAGAAGGTTGTGTGATTCAAGGACCCAAACAAAACAAGCATTAACCATCCTCTCCAAAACCTTACAGAAACAGCTAGTCAAAGCAATAGGATAATAATTATAAGGAATCTTGGGATCCTTCCCAGGTTTAGAAAAAGGGATGACAATAACCATACATCATGCATCTGGAAAACATCTTCCTGCCAAACTGGGTTCCAAACAACTAGATGAAGTGCAATAGAGGCAGGAGAGAGATGGCACAGTACCTCATAATGAATATCATCAGGTCAACTGATGTACTGCCAGACTGATGTAGAAGAATTTTAGACCCACCAGCATTATGGACAATTGCAGTTAGAGAGACTATCCACCCAAAAAGACTGTGATTTGATGGCTGAGAAGGCAGAGAAGATATGTAAGTGCTGGAAAGGTTAGAAAAGCACTCCCCAAGAGTGGCAGCAATTCTCTGTATATCAGCAACTTCCTGGCCATTGAAGACAAGATCAAAGGGGGGATGGGAAGCATACTTCCAACTGACCCTCTGAATCCTGTACCAGATGGCCTTGGAACTGGTAGTTGAAGAGATGCTGATAGTGAAGTTAATCCAAGATTCCTTCTGGCTTTGATGTCTGACCTGGCAGGCATGGGAATGAGCCTGCTAAAAAGTGACACAGTTGCTAAGAGTGGGATATTTGCAAAAGATATCCCAGGCCTTTTACGACCACTGGAAGTCATGGATTCACCATGGATGAAAATACCATTGGAAACATGTTGAGATTATACAAACAGCTGCTTAGACAATACAATCAGTTAATACCTCTATGCAGTCATTAATAGTGAGAAGATTAATAACAGCAGGATCAAGTTGCAAAGGAGAGGCAGCCAGCTTGCTCTAGCTTCCACTGTGGCATGAGTCAAGTGGCATTCATTGCAGCTAATCTCCCTCAGAATGATGGGAAAATGATCACTGCCCAATGGGTTATTATCCACTCTCTAAGAAAAATATGGAAAAAGGGAAGGGGAACAAATGGAGAGATCAATAGCAGTAAAAAACTGCATTAAAATATGTATATGAACCAGTACTGAAGAGAGAGAAGTTGTGATCCAAGAGCATACATTCCACAGAACAACCCCTCCAACAAATATCAGCACCACTCCAAAGGGGGATTGTGTCCATTAACATCTCCCAAGATAAAGAAGGAAGATGGCAACTGTTAAATAAGGTCACCAAAGTCTACTTAATTATATACTTTTCCTGGTGTCAGGTAAAAAGATCAAACTGTGATGGTGTGACCAATAGAGACATGTATGGCAACAGCCTTCAGGAGTCAACCAGCAGTGCCACACTTCCATAAATTCATCCATCATACAACCTGTCATTCCTGTACAAGGAAAATTGCCAAAAAGTGACAGCATCAGCAGATCTGAGAAATGTTTCCTATTAGAGACATAAGGGACAATAATGTCATCTAAATTAGAAAAGAAACCTCAACAGCTCCACTGTATCAAAGTGACCATTTCTATTAAGTAGTAGTAGAAACATAATACAGTATAAAAATGGATAGATGGAATAATCATAAACAGTAATAACTGGAAACCCCAATTTTAATTAATTGATTATTTTTGTGACAATTGCTTTATTCGTAACTTCAATCAATCAATTAGTTTATATTTCACTAATATATGATCCAACAGGTAATTGATTAAATTACCCAGCTCTAGTGCCAAAACAATTTAATGTAGCAAGTATAATTTAATGTATAGTACAAAAGTATTTACATTGGCAACAAAGTTATTGGGTTTAATCTCATAAATGCATACAGGCCTAATTTTTTGTGTAAGTGATTGTTGTTTACAAACCCTGCATCATATTACGAACACAATGAAACTCTGGTACACATGCCATGAGTATTTTATTTTATTTACATGTCTTACCCTCCTTCATCCTAAAATATTTGTTTCATCATCACTTTGATCAGGTTTTATCATTTAAATGTTTAGTTTTATAGTAGCTTACTATGGGAAAGCATTCCTAGTTCAGTTACATTAACATTTAACATGTCAACACTAGTGAGCATGTGTAAACGTATATCTAGTCACAGACAAAACATTTTAGTTTTTGGTCAATTACTAACCATTATTTTGTTCTTTGAAACATATCAAAAACATTTTAACAAATGTTATATAAAAATATTCATAAAAAAAGAGTTTTCCCCCAAAATATCAAACTGTTGTATCTTTGATTAATTAAGTACATTCAATTAATCAACATAATTTTCAAATAAAACAGCTACTAAATACCTCTACTTCTGAACACTAAAAAAAAATAGAGTTTTCAGTAACACCGATATCAAGCTCTTGTTTTTGTCCAAATAAGATGTTGTCTGGTCTGTTGGGAAAGAAGCTGTATGACCAAGCCATCTGATTAAAGTTTCACAAGAAGACAATGCTTGTAGGACAGCATTCAGAAAGCATGAATTTCCAAGATTATGAAGGCCTGGAACATAACCTAGGAAGAAATATTTTCTGTACATATAACTTACACACACACACATATTTATTAAAAAAACAAAAATCTTTTGCTAAGCACACTGTTAAAAGTATAACTCCATGTACACATCAAGCAAATCATTTATTGCACATAAACACATATTTTCACTATAGTACAAAAACTAGAAATCAAACTCGTCATTCAAACACAACCCATTTACATTATTATACAATTTTTGAAGCATAAAATAATATCACAAAACATTTAGTGCATAAACATATAAAAGTCACTTGGTATTAAGCCCAAATAAAAATATACCAACCTCTTAGCACGTCTGTTCACAAGAAACCAAATAAAAGTTCACATTTTCCTACACTAAAAATGTATTTCCGATAGGTACTTACCTTGTTTCATCCTAAGCTATCTTGACCTTGATTTGCCTTCTAAGCATTGCTAAAAAATGTTTCACTAATAGCCCACCAGTCTCTTATACCTCTTTACAGACATCTCTGACATTTGTCAAACACACTGACAACCACAGGTTCTAAGACTGCTTTAACTATTTCTCTGATGTAATACTTGAAGAAACCTTGTGTAGTTGGATATAGTGTGTATAAAAACCCAGCAGCATTAAGACTGAAAACTAGTGTCCAGTGTAACAGTCCCACTTAGCAAATCCAGCAGTTCAGAAGGATTTAGTGTCTTGTGAACACAAAATGTAAAATGGGATGGAGCACATCTCCTAAGAAGAAATGTGAATAACACCATCAGCTAAGATTTTGTATCCATGACCTGATTATATCATCACTACTTGATGGTACCTCTGCATGATACTTTCCAGAATGTGAAATACGTAAGCATCAATGGATTTGACTTCTATTGTACCAAAAAATGGTCTGTATACTTTACTGGAAATTTACTAATTTGGAACTATCTGTTGAAAAAATGTGAAGCTCAGTTTCAGTCAAAACCAGCCAGATTAAATACGTTTTTATATCAGCGTGTAATTAACCACACATCTTTTAACTTTTTTCCTATAAAAGTAACTACATTTTAAATTGTACACAATGTTTAGACACACTGTACATGCACAAATATCATTTTTTTTAAGAAATGTATCGTGCACTCATCACTAGCCTAAAACTTCCACACATTATTTTCAGTCTTTAAAAAACATTGGTATTCTTCTTTTAGAGTACATTAAACTATAGAGTATTTACACAGAATGCTAATAATATACTGTGCATTATAAATAATCTAATAAATTTCAAAGTTAAAATTAACAAAAACTTCATTAATTAATATTGCTTCAATAATAAAGTGGCACATATTGTAATCCAACTTATGCCAACAATGGTTCTTAAATGAGAAAGCATTTGGCAAAATATGCATTAATGTCCACGTCAAATTTACAAAATCTGTATGAATCTTCATAAAATTACTGTGAATGAATATAAGTTTTGATAGTCCTAGAACTAAACCTGTTGCATTCAATGATTCTCACATGCTACTGCAAAGCTGAAAGTTTTATGATGTATGAGGTGGTCCCAATCTTCAGAAGGTAAGGTAACACTATGGATTCTTTGCAGTAATCAACCTTTTCAGCAACAGTGATAATGATGATATCCTTCAGCCATTGAGATTTTTGCTTTATTCCTATACAACTTATAAATATGTTGGTCAAGACTTAAAAGAAACTGGGCAGACTGAAGCCATGAATATGATCATAAAGGAAGCTGAGCATATCCAAAGTGTGGATCCAATGGTTGTTTCATGTGATTTAGCTAAACAAAGAGCAAGAGATAAATCATAGAGCAAGAAAGATCTACAGGCATACAATTACAAGGCATCAGTAAAATTATAGTAGTATTTTTTCCAAGGGTATTTTTTTATTGCATTTTTTTTAGTATTTAGCATTTTTAAGTCACCAACAGGCACTGTCCAGTGAACTTCAGTTATTTATCTCCCTCTAGCATTACACTGATTTTCCTTTTCCATACTAATTTGTTTCTCCTGATTTTTACTCTAGTATTTCCAGTTGCAGCTGGCAGTTTTTGCTATTTATTCTTTATCCTCTTTGTTGGCATTGTCTAGGTCCTAATTTTGAGGAGTCAAATTACAGTTTGTAGTAAGAAGTTTAACTGTTTGGCCCATTGTTAGATGATTCCATATTTATGATATCACTGATTACCTTCCAGTTCTTTTTTTATTTTAGTCTTTTATTTTGAGTAGCTACGAAAGATGGAAAGTGTAGCACTTACATAGCAACTTCAAAAACTACAAGACTTGACAAAGTCCTTTACAGCATGTTAAAGGTGCAGCGATGTTATCTGACCTCAAAAAAAACTCCTCCATAAACACATTACTGGTATAAAACAGAAAAGAAAATATTGATATTATTTGTCACCTGCTAAATATTCAACATGGAATCCAAATTTTCAAAGATGACAAACAATTTTAGATAAATGTTTATTTATGCTACCCAACATTTTGGCTTATACCTTTTTTCAAGGGTCTATAAACATCACAGGTTACAAAAATTATTCTGTGGATGGCGAAGTGTAGTAAAAGCATTATAGAACAGGTTAGAATTGCAGATCATAAAAGTAAATGTTGAAAAACAAAACAAAATAAAAAATAAGATAAAACAGATAAATCATAATAATAGTATTATAAAGCCAGGCAATGTATATGTTAATGGAAGGGCATTTGGACAGATGAAGTCAGGGTTGTGTTGCAGGGATGAGCAGAATTGGTACACGGCTGTCTGAGTAATCACTCACAAGACAGCCAATATGTGTAGTAAGGTTAGGTCTCATTTACATCAAATATTCAATAAAAGAAAATGTGAGCGAAAACACGTCTTACTCCACGACTACCAATGAAGAAGTGATTTTGGCCTAAGCTGCATTGAGGGAGTCAGCTGTGCTGGGAATTGTGTCTTGCTCCTATTGGTGGAGGGTTGTTGCATGCTCATTTGCATGCTATCATGCAGCTGTCTCACGTGAAAACACGTGAGGTTAGGTGGAAGTATCAAGGATAGTGGCGAGTGAAACTTTGTGCTTATAGAGGGCAGTACAAGTCATATTGTTCTATGAGCTCAGAAATAATCAGCTACTGGCTGTGGTCTTAAGTAGATTGCCAGAGTCTAGCTGTGTTGATTTCAGAAAACCGCAAAAATGTTTTATGGAAATTAATAGCCCAATCAAACAAAAACACACATATCCAAGATTTCTTTTTTGATACTATATGGTTGTATAAGGATGTCTGGCTATTTTTTTTAATAATTTCTTTAAAATAATGGAGGGATCAGACCGCACCTACTTAAAAGACAAATAACAACATTATATGATAAGAGTTATTAATTTCTGAAAAAAATTGTTGGGAGTTTACCCCTAGATCAGTTCTTACTTATCCAATTTTAAAGAATAGTTATTAATTTCTATAAAAATGGAGGAGGTCTAGATCCTCTTCACCTAGATTCATGCCTGCTTATACAACTTTAAAGAATACACTTATTTTTTCTTAAAAAATTGATGGAGGAGGTGTATGGGCACACTAAACCTCCTTCACATAGATATACACACCCTACTTGTACAACATTAACCAGTTATGCAATTATAAATTAGAAACATAATACAATATACAAAAACAACAATACTTTATTTAACACTTTATTAGCCAGGAAGCTGGCAGTGGATGCTGTCAGATAGTTGACTTCCCTCTTGTCAACAGTTCAAAATCAATGACAGTAACAGATGGTCTTAGTAGCTTTGCAACAACAAAATCAGGATGATTAAGTTTAGTGTCATTGGGAATTAAACCAGAGACTCTCTTGTCATGAGGCATCTCTCTTCCACTATGTAGCTTTTCGATTAACAACAAACAAACATAATGGCAATATTTTGATTACTCGGACATTTGGACTAATCTGAAAAAGTAATTACTGGAAACCTAATTTCAAATAGTTGATTATATTTTTGACAGTTGATTAACTGACTGTTGGAAGCATCAAAAAGGAAGATTTTCCTTAGCTGAAAATGCATTTTGGATAGATACTTACCTCTCTGCACCACTAAGAGCTATTACCTCATATACAACTCCAGCAGAATTTCCTGCACATGCCAGAAACCTTAAACGTAACTCCATCCCTCCACATCTCTACATGAATAGCACCAGCCTATGACAACCATCATAATGTTGTAGACATACACAAATAGAAGAGTGACAATCTCCACATACAGTAATCTCCATAAGCACCAGCATATAATTGTAGGCTCATTCTTAATGAGACAAACAAAATTCCCTGGATGTGGAGAAAAATGGTGTTAGGTAGTGCAAAGTGATAAGTACCTATCTGAAATACATTTTCAGGTAAGGAAAATGTTTACTTCAGAAACATTACCTCTCTGCACCAATAAGAACTATAATCTCACACTGAAGATGGTGGAGGGGCTAATGCTGATCAATTATAGAGACACGCTATTTTGTGAAGCAGCAACAGAAAAGGAAAGCCCATGGGGTGTGACTTCCACAAGACTAAGGGTTGCATAGTGGAAGAGTTCCTGATTTTGAGACCTCATCCTTCTCAACCAGAGAATACTTTCACCCAAGAGTTTCTTTTATGTCACATGTTTGTTTGCCATTGATAGAAAATCTAAGAATGGCAGAAAAAAATCCAGTGTTGGTTTGTGCATGCCACAAATGTGTAGTGTGGTTACAGCTCGACGCCACTCCATCTTGATTAAATCCAAGTGCTATCCGGCTGGACATATCTACTGGAAATTGTGTTGTTTTTGATAGTTAATATATCAGTGGGTATATGTAGTAGTGCATCTCAAGGCAAAGCCTAGTTCCATTTTGTTGTACTTTTCCACCAGGGATAACTAGATTTAATCTATAGCAAGGTATCATTACACAGTCAGGTAAGTCCCCATCCCTACATCTCAAACATGGTGTGGGCCTGCTCAGTTTCTTACTGGAGGGAAGGCATCATTTGAAGAGTAAACTCTCCATATAGACTACCCCAGCAGCTTGGGTCTCGGGAAGTAAAGTTCTCCCATACTCCATTATAAGAATTTGGGTGGGAGCAACATTTGCATACGGGGAAAACAACACCAGAGAGAGTGCATTGACTACAGTCATCAACTAGAATTAAGACTACAGCATTAAGACTAACTGACTACAGCACAATCAACTAGAATTAAGTTCCCACTGAGAGAAAGTGTAATTGGCTACTACAACTAAAGACAAAACTATGCACCAGGTACAAGGGCAGGATTACACCAGGTGCTGTCATTGAAGTTGGAAAAGTACAAAAACAGCCAGGTAATACAAATATAGAGATACACTACCAAACCAGTCTTGCAGAAAAACTCATCTTTACAGTGGGCACTGAGTCAGGGGTAGGTGGGATTAACAATGCTCTTATCTCTATCTCAATGTGGATTTCAGATAAGTATTCCCTGTGAGGCAAAGCTGGTCACTCAATGGGATCCAATAACACCAAACAGAATAAAGTGATTTGGAGATCATATAAGATCAATGATGGAGCTAGAAATTAAAAAGTAACAGATGAAAATCACCTCACAATAGCCTCTGGGGAGGTTGGAAGATGGCAACCAGATGGAAGCAAACACCAGAGAAACAAGGAACTACCCAGAGATGCAAGTAACTTGAAAAGAATGCTTTAGGTATAGGCCCCATACTTGCCTGCAATACCTCCTCCAACTGTCAGCATTGGTTAAAGTAGAAGGGGATAAGTCATGGTAAAACAGATGATGGCAGTTTCCATGAAATGGAGCAGACAAAACTGGATAGCAACAAACAGCCATAACTAAGCATAAAAGACAATTGGGATTGGAATGATCATATGATGAGGAAATGGAAGGGAGAGACATGGGAGAAAAGCATCTGATCACCCTCTTGGGCACCCCAAGTTTCCAGAAGAAAGGAGCATTCAGAGAACAAGTCAACCAATCCTTGTGATATAAATTATGGGAGGCTTCTATGGTATGAAGTCCAAATGATGATGACCGCCAGCAAGTAGAAGGAGAAAATATTCTTCACGAATAAAAGATATAAAGAACAGGAGCTCAACAGAACAAACTGGGGTATGTAAGAGCCCACAGAACCATACAAAGAACCCAGATGGGAGAGGGACCAGACAAAGAGGACAATGAACAAAAAAGGCCTTGAAAATTGCAGAGAAACAGGTGAAAGCAAAGGATTAGTGCTGGGCAAGAGGCAGAAGTTGAGTCAAAAAGCTAGGTAAAGCATAGATTCCAAGAGTGGGTGTCTCCCTGGCAGTTGATGTAAGAATTAACCATATAATTGTCAGACAGGATCATCATCAAATGGCCCAATAAATACTATAAAAGATTTGGCCAATCTTGAAAAGCTGCAGAAATCATCAGATTGCTGATAAGCAGAGATCTTTCTTCCAACTCAGACTAGACCATGAAGAGATTGTACGGTCCAGAACTACCTTCCCCAACTGAAAATGAAGGCACTAGTGGCAAAATGCAAATCAGGCAGAGGGGAGCAATCAAGTCACCAAGACAGAGAAATGTAGTTGGATGGAGACGTGCAAGGGTAAATAAGGGATCACAGGATGGGTGTCTTAAATCTCCCCAAGCCCATTGAAGGGGATTCATGTGTAAAAAGAAGCCAGAGTTCCCAAAAGTGGGAGAACCTTTTGTATAGAGAGAGAAGAGTGCAGAGCCTTTGATATCAAGATTTCCATGGTTTCAAAATGCAAAGGAGATGATTAAGACTGCTCTGTACAATAATCAAGAAAAACTCCCAGGAATATATTGAATATGCAGAGGATAGGAGAGAATATGGGAAGAAAGAAGAAATGGAGTACAGAAAAGCAGGTAGAGACCTTAAGAAAGAATTTCCTGGGTTGCCAGTAAAGGGGGACTAGAGGTGTACAAAGGAGGAGAGACAGGCACTGATGGTTTCTTAAATACAAATTGGCTCCAAGGAAGAGTTACTGTCCAATATCATGACAAAGTGCCCTGTGGTCAAGGGAATAACAAGTAGAAGCAATAGGAAGAAGAACAGGAAAAGAGATCACTCCACTTGACTCCTGAAGTCTGGTAGCCAACTGAGGGACCTGAGTTGGAAATGAAGTAGGCAAATGGGAACCAACCACTTAATACACAGTAGTAGGAACATCATGTTTTAAAGCATCAGCAGTTAATTTGTTGTTACACCATGATTCATCACACCTCCATAAGATTTGAGTAATTTAGTTTATGTATGATATTTTCAATTCCTGACCATAAACAGAAATCCTAGACCTGTTATACGCTAAATATTTACTCTACTGATTGAGTTAAAGGGATAATTATTGAACATCAACTCCATTTACAGATAAGGTTTCTGCAATTGCAACTGACTTGGAGAAACTTCTTGAACATGAATGTTGGGGCCTTGGGACATATCAACAATGTGAATGTTTTTATTTTATTCTTTTTTTTGAGAAAATGAAGTTGTAATCACGTGGGTGGAATGAATGTTCAACAAAGACAAAAGTGACATGACAATAATGAAAGGATAGCAGACATTCAAAATGACAAGAAATTCAAAAAAGCACAAGAAAAAACATGTCTGAATACAGACAGTGCTGTGAAAATAATGAGACTGTGATCATGTGCTTATGAGGATTACTGCCTAATGAGATAATATCACCCTCCGGTGATTAAGGACTACAGCATTATGTTGTAGGCTTGTGCTATACATGTAGGGATGGGAGTGTGTTGAAAGCTTGTTGTATATGCAGTAAATTTCACAGCAGTTGTGCATGAGGTAATAGCTTTTTGTGGTGCAGAGATAGGTAAGTAATGTTTCTGAAACAGTAATAATCAAAAACACAAACTTGAATAATTAATTTGTTTATGTAACACTAAACAATGTAATCACTGCTCATAGATAATCAATTAAATTGGCCAGCTTTATAACCTTATGACAGTAACCTCAGTAACTCCCAAAAACTTGTCTTGTTCACATACATTTCATGTTTACAAGACTATATCGGGTTTCTCATGATTATACTTTATAGCCTCACTTCAGCTTAATGATTGTTTCTTCAAACCCAAGCCAGTTAGCTTCCTACTCAAATCTCAAGTGTTAAATTTCTTTGAATTCAAAACTCAAGTGTTAAGTTTGTCTAAGAACAATATGTATACATCCTTTCACAGACATTTGTTTTTTCTAGTTAATGTCAAACTACCACTAGAAAGATGGTAACAGCTTTATAAAAGAGGGCATTATTTTTTATTACAAAACCTTACAATACTGCACTGGATTCATTGTTGTCTGCCACCAATTTACAAAGACCATACAAGTAGGATCTTTGGCCATTGAACATCCACTTAAATCATTAACTACGTATAACATAATACTTCATTATAAAAGCACAAAGCATAAATGTAATGTCTTTGCTTTATATTTCAGAAACTCGACTCTTGCTTTACAATAAAAGAATTATTACCTCTAAAATTTCTCTTCTTTGCTACAGTAGGACCCCAAAGAACATAAATTCCAGCTAAAGTAATTGCTCCAAGTACACCTCCTATAAGAAACCTTGGTTTTTGTAGATCCATCTTTTTATGACACTCACACCACTGTAATTATGCCTAAAAATAAATACACAAAGATACATAAGATACTCTGGTTATAGATATTGTCACATCCAAAACTCTTACTAATGAATATATTTCTGCTTGCAACAAACTTCCAAATGTTTCACTATTAGTAAAAGATTTATTTGTATGCTTATTCAACTAAATGGCCTTAGCCTTTTAATTATTATTAAACAACTGTACAAGCTGGCCTAGAGCAAAGTGTAACAATGTATTACAGTACACTGAAATATTTCAATGGTTCCACATTGTTCTGAAGTATGTAAACAAAACAAAATAATGGTAAAATACAAATACACAAGTTTGTAATGCATTTAAACTGCAAAAGAGTGCATACATATTGTTATAACATTTCTCTTTTATTGCTGGGTTCTTTTAAATTATCTGGTTAAAATAATTCAAAGTCCAGTCCACATAAATAATAATAAATTCGTTTATTTCATCCTTAACATTTCTACAAGTTTGAACTATGTAGTTTATAGGCTACATTAACACATGACATTCAGCACCATGCTAACGCAACAAATAAACGTACTTGTAACAATTCATGGCTGAAGTGAAAACAAACTGATTGATTCATCTAATGGCTAGAAAAAACTACAATTTTCACAATTATCTTCTTGATGCTTCACTGAACCCTGTATATATAATAAACTCTATAATTTACCAGAACTTTTGAGATCAAATATTCTAGAGCTTCTTAGGTGTTCTAAACCTATACTATTAAACTTTTCAATCTTAACATCATTATGATCTGTAGCTTCCTCCAGCAAATTACAATGTTAAAAATATACCTTACAACAATATACTGCATCGGCCTGATTATAAGGGTCTGTTTTCTGATTAATAATTATTCTGTAAAATTCATAATTGCCATATAATTGTGGCCCGACCACAGGCTCCTTCTCCTACTCTAGCCTGTCACATTCCTGAATGTCCAGAAAGCATCCATCTACGCATGCATGCCAGATGTTCGCTCAAAGTCATTGCTAATTCTTGCAACTAATCCACCTGCAGGCTGTTCAGTTAGAGTATTGATTTTGTAGCCCTAAAAAAAGGATGTTATGACTCTCAATTTTTTTTTCCCATGGTTTCTGAAAATGGGAGTCACCTTATATTTGAGATTGCCCTATAATCGGGCCAATACAGTATACAAGTTCTGTTCAAAATTTTCATCGTAATGCAAGTTTAAGATTTGGAATGTACCTTATAAAGGAAATTTGTATACTAAGTTTCTACAGACCCACCTATTTGCAGAAAGCAGAGATGTAAGGATATCATTCATATTAAAAATTTAAATATTCTTGAAATCTGATTAACCCAAAAAGACAATGGTTTTAATAAAAAATAAAAATACTTATCTAAAATACAATTTTAGAAACTTGGATTTAAATCTGAGAGTTTTATAACAAATATTCCTCACATACTGTTAAGATATTCTACAATAAAGCAAGTTTTAAACCAGGATGTTCTTTAATAAACTTTATACGGTTATTTAAATATTGTTGAATGTGTGACATATTCTCAAACATCACTAATATAAAAACATAAGTTAGAATTTTATCATACATATGATGTGTGTGTGGATTTGATGTATTTGTATTTTCAGAAAGCATCTGACTAGGTGCCACAAAAACTGTTTGTTAAAAACTATCTTTGTAGGTGTGGTGGATAGGTTGGGTCATTGGATAGAAAATTGCCTGGATGGAAGAAAGCAGAGGGTTGTAATATATGGAGTTCATTTAAATTGGATTAATGCCACAAGGCTCTTTTTGATTTACATGAATAACATAGATTGAAGAATTGTCAATAGATTATTTACATTTGCTGATTGTATTAAAGTTTTAGGTGTTTTAGAGGATGCTCCTGGTTTACAAAAGAAATTAATTGGTTAATTTGGTATATAAATGGCAGATGGTCCTTAATTATAATAAATGCAAGGTAATTCATGTGGGATATCACAATTTGAGTTTTGAATATAATTTTGATAGAAATAACGTTAACAATGTTATGGGATAAAATGGATCTAGGTGTTCTGGCTGCTCAGTCTCTTAACCCATTCAAGCACTGTGCTGTTGCTAGTGGCACGGGAAATAGGATGTTAGAATGTATCTACAAAAATATTGTATCCAAGTCTAAAGAGATGAAGATGTCATTGTATGTCACTGATTAGGTCACACTATGTTCAATCTTTGGGTCCTTACTTTAGAAAGAACATTGAATTGTTGGAAGGGGTTAGGGGAAGGATGGTTACTAGGATGGTACCTGAGAAGAAGAGGTTGTCATACAAGAATAGGTTAGGATCTCTGAACTTGTTTTTCTTGAAAAAAATATGAGTTAGAAGAGATTTGATTGAGGTGTTTAAGATTCTTAAAGGAATTGCATCATCTTTATTTTTATACTTAATGGTGAGAATAGAGTAGAAGACATAAATATACATTTTGTTGGGGTAAGGTCATCTTCAGTTAATAAAGTTTTATTTTGCTAACAGGATAGTTAGTCTTTGAAATGTTTTGCTTTCAGATGTGGTAAATGCAGTTAATTTAAGTAGGTTGTAGGGAAGGCTTGATAAATACTTCAATGTCAAGAGTATGTTTTGTGTTTTATTTTTAAGAGTCTAGTATAGTGGATAGGATGGCCTAAATGGACCAAGAAGTCCCTTGTCCAAAAATTACATACATGTAATTATATATGAAAAGTTACTAAAATAGTATAAACTAATGTTCTACAAAATTTATCATGTGTAATATTTAAGCTTGTTTTTTTTACCCCATCTGATCAAAGTACCCATGCATGATACAAATAATTTTGAAAACCTGAATCAGGTAATCTCAACTTCTTCTATGCTTCAACTTCAAATAAATCTATACAAATCCTTGTGAGCTTTTTCAACTCAAGTATCATTTTAGTAGTTTTTTCAACTTTATGAAAGTTTATCTAGTATTGATATATTTTCCTTGTACTTATATATGATTTAATATAGTATCATATGCTGATATATTTCCTTGTACTTATATATGATTTAATATAGTAACATATGCTGATATATTTTCCTTGTACTTATATATGATTTAATATAGTATCACATGCTGTTAGTCACTTCACTACAACGGTATAAGAAAAAACCAATATGCTTAAAAAGAAAAAAGAAAAATGCATAAGTGATCTACTAGTACTACCTAGCATGATGATTGTTTACAAAATTTCATTTATCAAGAGAAGCTTTTTTTCTCTGTGTAGCATTTAAACTATAAAGACTAGGAGTAACTCAATTTATATGTTTATCAGTATCAGTAAGAGTTGTTGTATACTTATGTAGACCCTTTTTCATCCATGTAAATTTATAATTAGCAAATAAAATTGTAAAAAATTAAAATGGGTTTAGGACTTCTAATGCCATTATATTTTTACTATATGGTATATTTCTACTTTTAGTATTTTAGTTTTACGAAATAGTCAAATAGTATTTCAAACAGTGCCAATTGAGTAATTAACTGTCTTTAAGTTTAAAAGTTCAACGAGTAAAGCCTCGTACATATATTTTACTTACTTGATTTATTACTTAGACATTTACTAATGCTATAATATTATCGATCTCTCGTCATTCACCTCATTACCAATACAACACCTAATAACTGAGGTATATTTATATTCTCTGTTTCACCACCATAAACTCATCTTTATAATTTACTACTGCTTTACTGTTTATCAGTTACGCATGTTCTGACTAGCAAACAGCGCATGTGTCGAGCCAAATTCTTCAGTATAATAAGTTATACATTGATTTAATTATATTGAATGTGTTTTGTGCGTTTTTTCTTATAGCAAAACCACATCGGTCTATCTGCTGTGTCCACAGAAGGGAATCGAACCCCTGATTCTAGCGTTGTAAATCCGAAGACCGTGGGACAATTATATCGAAAATTATTTTTCAAAATCAGTAACATATAAATAGTTCACAAATCTGTTGAAATTGTCTTACACCAGGAAATATAGATTCAAACAGTGTCTCAGCAGTAAGTCTGAAAGCTTATAACATTAAAAATCGGGTTTAAATACCCATGGTTGGTCCCGTTGTGTAGTTTTGTGCTTAATAACAATAATTTAGTTACATTATTACCAAAACTGTGTAATGGCAACTATTTTTTATACTGCAGATCGTGGTGGCAAGGTCATTATTTTCCTGTATTGTGTAACTAAAAGTTTAAACTGCCGTTGAGTCAGAGATTATTTATTGAATAAGGTCCGAGGATGGGCTTTGTTTGTGAAATGTGGAAAATTTTTTTATTAAGGCCATAATAATCTCAGGGAGGTGGAAAGTAAGAGTCATAGTATTATAGATTTGGTGTAATGAAGTTTTCAAAGAAGAGAAAATCAAACATCAAATTCAATCGAATTTGTTCATATGTATTAACTTAACACGACTTCCAACAGGTTAAAACAGAATAGCTAGGCCTGGCACGACCAGGTGGTTAGGGCGCTCAGCTCGTAGTCTGTAGGTCGCAGGTTCGAATCCTCGTCCCACCAAACATTCTCGCCCTTTCAGTTATGACGTCTAATCCCACTATTCGTTGGTAAAAGGGTAGATCAAGAATTGGAGGTGGGTGGTGATTGACTAGCTGCCTTCCCTCTAGTTTGTCACTGTTAAATTAGGGACAACAAACGCAGATAACCCTCGTATAGCTCTGCGCGAAATTCAAAAATAAAACTAACTCTAATAGCGATAAAACATTGTAGGAACCATATCCGACATTTAGTCTGTTTTTTTTTCCTGAAAATCAGAGAAGTTATGAATGTTTTTGGGAGAAGAGTTGTGTTATTTTCTTACCCTAATTCACAAAATGGACATGGATTTGTTGTTGTCTCTTATCTATGGAACTTTTACCATTCCCAATTTGTGTGTGTGTGTGTGTGTGAAATCTTGAAGAACTGCTGAGACAACGAGTTAAAACCTTTGAATATATTGTTGCGTCAGCGAGGTCACGTGACTAGTATCACGCCACCTGTTTCTAGGAATATCCTGTACCTTCAAGAATGCCCTAGCATTTACTAGATATGTGTTTGTCTTGTATATATAAGACGTTCACAACGTGACGGGACAACATTAATATTACAAGGACAAGAGGAGAGGCCATAACATGTGGCTGGGGCACTTTGGTAGAATAGCAACATTTTAACAACTATTTGCAGCAAAGAAAACAGCATGGCAAAATTATCCATGGATCATGCCATGTACAACCTTACTCTTAGGCTTCTAGATTTTCGTATCAGATGACATGCCCCAACACCGACCACTCTTAAGTCAGAAATTATTTATTAATTATAGTGGATCAATTATTTTTGTATTTTCTCGACTCATTATAATTATCAGATCCTGTGGACTGAGTCTGGTCCAATGTGTCAGACTGTAGATCTAAAGTTTTGTGGTTTATGCTCTATTACCACTTTGGAGCCGTGGTTATGTTGTACAAGTGGCAGTCAAATCCTATTATTCAATTAAAGCACTTCATGAATTGGTAGTGGGTTGTTTTCACTAGCTGCTTTTTCTTAGGTCTATCACTTTAAAATTAGGAATGGCTAGTGCCGATAGCTCTCGATTAGCTAAGTGAAAAATTCAGCAAACAATACAAATTATATCAAATTTGTCACTTCTCAGATACTAGTGAGTAAACTATAGACTTTGGAGACTATAATTATTTTTACTTCTATAGTAATTACGTCATTTTCTGTCATTTGCAAATTTAAAAATTACTTAAGAAGAGCAAGTAATTTTGCAGAATTTCTGTGTTTTAGAACCCTAGTAGGTAAAAGAACTTGGAGTCATCCACTTTCTATGTTCTTTTTATAAAGCCCTGTTCCTTTTCTGTCACATATGTAAATTGGAGGGATGCATAAGAAGTAAAAAAAACCTTATTTTAAGCTATACATAAGTTAATAGTGTTTATACTCCTTAGTAGGTAAATTACTCTTGATAAAAACCAAATTTGTATTCTTATACGAAAATCCCCTTTTATTATGAATGTCACAAAAGTAAAGTCGAAAGTTTCTTTGAAACTAAAAATAGTATTTCAAAAAATTCCTTTTCCAGAATATGTCAGGTATAATTTGTTGTTTGACATGCTCACTTATAATTTGAAAGTCTGTAATTCATATCTTGTTGCCGCAAAATTGTGCTCTGGATTTTGTTACAATGAGTGAGTTATAATAGTAATGGACAAATCCCATTATTCAATTAGGAAAGTCCAAGACGTAGTGCTGGGTAATATTGACTAATTGCCTTCCATCTAGTCAATTAGTTGTGTTAATTTCAGCTAAGAACCGATTTCCTTAAAAATATTAGATATACTTATCTTCAATAATAGCAGAATATGACCAAGAAAAAATACGACACTTCTCGTGATTAAGGGTATTTAAACAGACAGTTTAATTTGTGTGAAAATGACCAGGCTAGACAAACTTTTAGTAAAAGAAACAAAAGTCTTTGTTCAAGAAAAGAAGACAGACAGTCCTCACTTTATGCCATGCAATTAATAATCTTGAAGTCTTCTTTCTACCAAGATGGATTACCTCAACACTAAACGTTAAATAAACTCCCGAAAAAGCTAGGAGTGAAGTGATAAAAAAACAACCTGGATTTCAAACATCAACTTGCTTTTTTGGGCCAGTGGAAAATGTCACTTCATGACCTGTTCTCTGATAGCATTGGTCAGCTGTCCAATCTAATTGACGTCAAAGTCTGGCCAGCAAATGATATTCCACTACTGACTAGTTTTAGCCCAGGCTCAAAATATACTGAAATGTCCCTACTAGCCGGCCAATCGTCTGGCTAAAGATGATGTTAGACTTTGGGCCTCGTGTTGCAGCCATGACACTGTGGAATATAAATAATCAATAATGTTGCGT